AATCCTCCTCAAAGAGATTCCACCGCCTCCCTTGGGTAGCGGGTGAGGCAGTCCAACCTCCCTGAATCCTCCTCAAAGAGATTCCACCGCCTCCCTTGGGTAGCGGGTGAGGCAGTCCAACCTCCCTGAATCCTCCTCAAAGAGATTCCACCGCCTCCCTTGGGTAGCGGGTGAGACAGTCCAACCTCCCTGAATCCTCCTCAAAGAGATTCCACCGACAGCATTGTTGCTGTTTTTGCTGTTGTTGTTGTTGTTTTGGGTTCCAAGTGCCGTAAAACTCTTCCTAAAATTAGAAAAAACAAACCCAAAACCTAAACCAAACAAAACCTAAACAAAACAATTGTTTCAATAGATACCCCCCCCAATTAGTAAAATGACTCCCGTCCCTTACCTTAAAACTATATATTTAAAAAAAAAGATATATATCACCCACCCCTCTTGTCTTAAGGCCATTCCACAAAGATGGGATATTAACATGTTCTTATGCACAGGAGAATTGTAAATGGGCTGATTTATCAATGTCATGCTCTCTTGCTGTGTCGGAACAACATAGGGGGAACTGCTGATTGTTCTTTCCTCATCCTAACTATCGTCATTTTTTCCTCTACTTCTTTTGTATGTTTGTAACTCTCTTGTGAACTGCTATTCCTGGGGTGCCTTGATAGTGGAAACAGACTTTGTGCTGTTGAGGCTAGAGAGGTGAGCAGAGTAAGCCTGATTCCCCGTTTGGTCTTCTCTGTTGACATCCACCCCTTGGTGCTCATATGATCGTATGCAGCTGCGAGAGCCGTAAAACCTTACTAAAACAAAAACCACCCCTCTCCCTCCTCCCTCCTCTCCTTCCTTCAGGCACCTTGCCTCTGACCTATGTATCACCCACTCTCCCCCCCCCCCACCTTCGTAGCACCTTCATGTATCACTCATTCACCTCCCTCTTCTCCTTCTTTCAGGCACCTTCTGACCTATGTATCACCCACTCACCCCCCCCCCCTCTAGGCACCTTCTGACCTATATATCACCCACTCACCTCCCTCCTCTCCTTGCCTCAGGCACTTCTGACCTATTATGCATTTATGTGTGTATATTATGTATATTTGCCTTTATAAACAAAAGTGCCCTTCTGGGACACATAAAAGTGTAATTCATTATTATTTAGTATTATATCACCCGCTCACCTCTTCCTCTCCTTCCTTCAGGCACCTTGCTTCTGACCTATGTATCACCCACTCCCCCCCCTTCCTGGCGCCTTCTGACCTATGTATCACCCACTCACCTTCCTCCTCTCCTCCCTTCTAGGCACCTTCTGACCTATATATCACTTTTTCACCTGACCTATATATCACCCACTCACCTGACCTATATATCACCCATTCACCTCCCCCCTCTCCTTCCTTCAGGTACCTTGCCTCTGACCTATATATCATCCATTCACCTGACCTATATATCACCCATTCACCTCCCTCCTCTCCTCCCCTCTAGGCACCTTCTGACCTCTATATCACCCACCCACCTGACCTGTATATCACCCATTCACCTCCCTCCCCTCCTCCTCTCCTCCCCTCCAGGCACCTTCAACGAGTACTCCGTGCTATCGTTTTTCCGTGGACTGAACCCGAGGAAGCAGCTCATCCTGGATGCCGAGCACAGCGTAGTCATCGACACTGAGTTCCTGCACAAAGTCTTCCCGGAGATCGAGACCAGCCTCCAGGCAATATTTCTCATTGCCCAACACCTCAAGAAGCTAGAGCTGAGTCTGGAGGAAATTCTCATCCTTAAGGCGATCGTGATCACCTCTTCTGGTGAGTGGCGTGTTGTTTCATTGTGCGTTTGTGCTTGGTGGTTGTTGCTGTTGTTGCTGTTGTTGTTTGTTGTTGCTGTTTTTGTTGTTTATACTTATTGTTGTTGTTTGTTGTTATTGTTGTTGTTGTGGTTCGAGTCGCCATCATCATTGTCACCACGACAACCATCATCATCATTCATCATCATCATCATCATCATCATCATCATCATCATCATCATCATCATCATCGTCATCATCATCATCATCATCATCATCATCATCGTGTAAAGCGTAAAGACCAACACTCGTAAATAAACAAACAAACAAATGTAACCCCATACAAACAAGCAAACAAACGGACAGAACTCCTAAACACTAAACACCTGTCTATACTTCTCCCCTGCCGTAAACCTGGCTTATTACAGAAAGTCCTGATAAAGGATGCCAACCAACCATTGTTCGCCCTCTCTAAAGAGTTCCAGTTTAGACAAATCTGGAATGAAGCCCACCCTACTCTGGTTTATAATATTTAAAAACAAAAACAAAACAACAACAAGAAGAAAAAAAACCCCTCAACAACAACACCTCTTTCTTGGTGCAGTTATTGTACGGAGATAAATCAGAGCTAAATCTTGACTAAGCTAAAACTGCGGAAAAACAGAGCTTCGATCTACGACACTGACATGCAAGCACTGCGACAGAATCTGCACTTCAAACATAGGAAGAATTAGCCATGAAAGAAGCTGCATGAAGACAACCTTGAGACCATCTTAAGCTAAATTGACCGTCTGCATAGACGAAAAGAGACATACAAATCAGAGCACAAGCGAGATTCTAACAACCACTATGTTTGTTTTAGAGCAGCTGATAGAAACGCGCCAACACATTCATGTGTGCGTCATCTACTCTTGGCAAACGACATATGTGAGGCATCGTGGTGGAATCAGGCTCTCGTCAAAATAATCGAAGTGAAGAAACTTGCATTTTTCCGCAAGTTTGTGAATTTTTATCAAATGTTGTTTTTTGGCTCAACACCTTTCATAACCATTAAAGAACTCATTTCTGTGTGGATTTTTCTGATTAAAGGCACAAAAAATATAAATTTTCAGTTACAACGGACTCTTAAGCTAAGGAAATAACTAATCTTCGGTGGCCATTTTCTCACTAATTTTACCTCTGACAACGAGTGAACCCCACCTCCTTCTTTCGCAAATATCTCCACTTGTATTAAAGATAAATGGATATATTTTTCATCAAAATAAAGACAACCGAACAAGCTTTAAGATGCTACCAATAACTCTACATGTCCAAACATTGACGAGAGCCTGATTCCACCATGCTGCCTCATATCATTATGACCCTTAAGGACCTAATGGGTAAAGTGCAAACATGTCTATCTCGGTACCGGAGCTCTACGTAGGCAGAGTAATGTTTGTTGAGTGTTTTTGAAGCACATCTCAGTGGTAAACATAACATAATATGTATTGTTTTTTTAGTCCAACAGGATTTCTTTCATAAGTTTTTTTTTTGACGCTGTTTAAGTAGGGTTTCGAAACATGTACGCTTGATTTTGGGTACTTTGAGTCCGAGATAATCTGTGTTTCAAGAGGTTGTTGGCATTATGGTTTGTGTTTGCTTGTTTGTGTGGGGTGCGTCTGTTTGTGTGTGTGCGTGTGCTTGTGTGTATGTGTGTGTTCGTCTGTTTGTGTGTGTGCGTCTGCTTGTGGTGTGTGTGTGTGTGTGTGTGTGTGTGTGTGTGTGTGCGTGCGCGCGCGCTCGTGTGTGTGTGTGTGTGTGTGTGCGCGTCTGCTTGTATGTTTGTGTGACATACATAAACACAATATACGTTTTTAGTTTCAGATAGAAAAAACAGAACTGAGCAATCAGTCCGAGTACAAAAGTAATGTTTCGTTTCGTAAAATTTCCACCAATCGACACACGTTCAAGAGCATTGACGAATAACGCGAAGGGTTTACACTATCCATAAATGATCCCTTTTCATCCCTTATCTTCTCCTCTTGAAGTGGTATCGGTAGCCTGGTGGTGTCTGACTACCGGACTCGTAATCGTGAGGTTGTGGTGTCGGTGGTCTAGTGGTTAGGCCACCGCACTCGTAATCGTAAGGTTCGGGGGTTCAAGCCTCACCTCAGTCCGACGTTGTGTCTTTGGGAAAAACACTTTGACACACATTTACCGTTTGGCTTGGTTCGTTCGGAGATGGACGTTACACTCGCAGGTCCCGCCTCTCACTTACTTACTTGCTCTCTCCTTATACCGTCAGGTACATAAAGTGGAGAGCAGTTGACGCCACACTTGTCTGTCCCTGGCCACGTCCTCCAATTTCGGCAAATACAGGGCCTGGGTGATTGCCTCATCCCCTATTGTGCGTCTATGGCTTCCAGTTGGCCCTCCTCGTTTTCTCTTTCCATTTGGTTTCAAATAGCTCTTCTTATAGGGCAATCTTGTCTTTGGCATTCTTTACCTCCTCTTACATGTTCGCTTTTAAGCACGAGGGGGCTATCCCGAAAAATGATGTTTTGAGAAAATCGAAGGAAAGTTTTTGCCCCTTGTACAGTCTTTATTAAAGACGAGGGGAGTTTTCTCTGTATCCAAACAAATCTACACACCAATGAAACCAAACTTCTCATATAGGTAGGGGCAATGCCCACTTTTGATGAAGGTCAACATTTCTGGAAACCCCCGAAATCTGGATTAGACTGCTTGTCCTTAAAAGCGACCACATAACCTAATAGTGTTGATAGAGGCGCTAAATCCACCCCATTTTCTCCCCTTCCACAGACCGAGAGCAGCTGCAGGAGTATGAGAAGGTAGACCGCCTCTACTGGCGACTGCACTGCATGCTCCAGCTGTCTTTGCGACGTCACCACAGGCGACCCATGGCCAGGTACCATTTTGTTTTGTGTTTTTTGTGTTTTTTGTGTTTTGGTAAGTGTTTTACCTCAATGTTAAAAACAATCAGGAAACGACAAATGCAGTTTTTGGAACCCCTGAATAGACGCAAGGGTCTTGAACAGCTTGTTCTCACTGGCAAATTGAAGGCAAACGAGGCAGGGGTAGGACCAGAACAATCTACTTGGGGATCCTAAACAAATGGATAACGGGGAAAGATCAGGGGAATGTGGGGAGAATTTTCACCAGGCAAGGTGTTGATATTTCCTACCATAAGATCAGGGATGTGTCTGAAATACAACAGTACGAAATAGCCAAGGAGTAGCTGTAGAAAGGCTGCAGAACGAGCCAGGAGCCCAGAGAGGGGGCAAATGAGATGAGGAGATGGGGGTAGATCGTGGAGACGAAAGCAGACGACCGAACATTGCTAGATAGCAGGAAAGAAGGTGAATGGAGACAATTTTAGAAAAGAAAATGTTTCCGCCGTTACCTGGATGCGGACCCCGGCCCTTTGAATGAAAGGTGAACACCTTGACCTCTAGGCCACGAGAACCCCCGAGTACGCTTCTGATCTGTAACAAAGAAAGACACAGAACGTCTCTTTTTCACCATCATCCATCAAAATTATTCTTCCACCTTGACCATCTTGCTACACGTATTTAAATGACCTTAGAGCATGCATAAGAATACCAATCAGAATACTGAGTACATATCTATCTTAACTTCATTATTGTTTATATTACTGTTCAATTATATTATGCATGTGACTGAAAGCCTGCGTGGTTGTGTATGTTTGTGTGTTTGTGTGTGTGCGTGTATGTTTGTGCTCGTGTGTGTATATGTGTGTACGTGGTGAAACACCAAACCAATGTTCCAAGAACGGGACAATAAAGATGTATCTTATCCCATCTCGAGACGTCAGTGCTTTCTTGTCCTATCTCCATTTTTTAAACATTGAAACTGTGACTTCTTCTTAAGCTCACTCTTTGTGATGAAGTGTTTTCATTGTTATTATACATGGAGATAGGACAAGAAGGCCCTGAGGTCGGGAAATTATCTATCTTATCTCATCTAATCCTGGCTAATCTTATCGTATCTTATCTTATCTAATCCTGTCTTCTCTTCTCTTCTCTTATTTCGTCTCATCTTATGTTGTCTCATCTTCTTATCTTATCTTATCTTATCTTATCTTATCTTATCTTATCTTATCTTATCTTATCTTATCTTATCTTATCTTATCTTATCTCACCTCAGGTACGCTCGACTGATCTCCGTCTTGACAGAGCTACGGTCCGTGGGTGCGCTCAACAGCAAGAACTTTAACCAGGCGAGCCCGGACTTCCTGAGGCTGACTCAAAGCATCAAGGTACCGCTCTTCATGGAGCTCATCTGTGGAATCAACATGTCCTAGGAGTCCTCAAAGTAAAATCATCATCCTTTTGGAGTGTCTAATTAGAATAGCGACAATGTGAGATGATCTTGTTTAATTATAATAATGACAACGTGAAATAAACCTTTTGGAAAGTCAAATTAGAATATTGACAACGTAAAATGATCCTTTAAAATTATATTAAAGACAACGTAAAATAATCCTTGGAATGTCAAATTAGAATAAATGACGACGTAAAATTATCCATTTGGAAGGGAATAATAACCACTAAAACTATTCTTTTGGAATGTCAAATTGTAATAATGACAATAAACAATTATCCTTTTGGAATGTCAAATTAGAATAACGACAACGTTAAATTATAATAATGACAACGTGAAACGATCCGTTAGGAGTGTCAAATCAGAATAATGACAATGTACAATTGGTCGCTTTTAAGCACAAGGGGGCTATCCTGAAAAATGCTGTTTTGAGAAAATCAAAGGTAATGTTTTTGCCCCTTGTTTAGACAAGGAGAGTTTTCTCTATAATCAAACACATATACACAGCGATGAAACCAAACTTCTCCTATAGGTAGGGCAATGCCCACCTTTGGTGTAGGTCAACATTTCTAGAAACTCCCGAAATCTGGGTTAGCCCGCTTGTCCTTAAAACCGACCAATTATCCTTTTGGAATGTCAAATTATGATGATGATGATGATAATAAGGATCAGTTCTATAGTATAAAGTTCCTGGTGGCTTCAGGCGCTTCACGATTGTAGCGTGTGTCTCTTCATGATGGACGCCCCCCCCTTCCCCACCCCCCCCTCCAGGGCAATGCTACTGACTGAAATGTCTTTAGGCCATTCCCAAAGGGGGGACCTTAACTTATTATTATGCGCAGTATTTATGTAAATGGGCTGATTCAACAATGCCATGCTCTTTAATGTGCCTGGACTGCAACAGGGAACTGATGCTTTTTGTTTCCTAATCTATACTATTGTCATTTTCCTCTACTTCTTTTGTATGTTTGTCACTCTCTTGTGACCTGCTATTTCCGGGGTGCCTTGATAGTCGACTTTGTGCCGTTGAAGCTAGAGAGGTGAGCAGAGTAAGCCTGATTCCCTGTAAAGACTTTTCTGTTGACATCCTCCCCTTGGCGTTTATATGACCTTATGCATTTGCGAGCGCCGTAAAACTAAAAAAGACACGATGGAAGTAGACGATCACCAAATTTTGGGGATACCAAGTTATTGGTACCATTTTCTAGCCTGTTTATTAGCACTGGTTTTGATGGAAAAAAATACTCATCTATCTAAAAGAGAAGTCGAGATATTTGCGTCTTAAGGAGGTGTGTGTGTGTGTGTGTGTGTGTGTGTGTGTGTGTGTGTGTGT